CGCCTTGCTCATTTTTCAACAGCCTTTGCCATCTTCCTTTTCTCTGTCATTCTCTTTTCCCTTTCTTTCCATTTTCTCTCACTCACATATTAATGTTCCGTTCCACACTCTTTCATAGGTTCCGTTTTTACCAATCCTACATTTGTTTATGAAGTGTTTGTATTTATTTATTATTTAAAATAATTTCAAAGTTTTAATAAATGACCGACTACTTCTTTCAACATATATTTGCTTGATCATAAAGACATTTAAAAAAAAGCCATCTTAAAAATATTTTTTATTTTTTATTAATAGTTTTTATCAAATCTTGTCCAGTATTACTAGGGATTGGGTGTTTATATTTTTCAATCGCTCACATGTCGAATGCTTTTATAGCGGAGTCTGTAGACATCGGAACGGGAAGGCCGCCGTGCACCTTGAGACATGAGGTTGAAGTCTCAATTGCAGTCTACAGTGGCTATTCCACCTTCGAATTCAGCTGCGCGGCAGAAATAGGCCGAATGGTTGTACTTAAACATGCAAGCTTACAACACGCGCACACCCTGTATATATTCGAAGTATCGGCGAATTAACGAAAGCAAAACTCGATTAAAAAAAAGAAGTGCGCTCGCAACTTGGTGCACATTTATGAAGTGAAACTTCTTTTACGTTGTGTGGTATTGTGGTTTTCTTAATTTTTCATCCTTAAATCATGTTTCTCTTGTAATAGAGAATGCTGTGTATAAGAGAAATGGACCTAGCTCGCTTTGTCTTTTCCCTCTCTCCACGATCGAATGGTTCGCGAGACGCTTTTTCTATTTCCTCATTCTCGCTCTTCCTAAATTGTATCTTTTCTCTCTAGCCGTAATGAATCTGTCGCGAGCTAAATTTTACTGTCATCGCGCCTAAAGTTTCTTTTTTTTTATTGCTTGGATGGGTGGACGAGCTCACAGCCCACCTGGTCTAAAGTGGTTACTGGAGCCCATGGACATCTACAACGAAATGCGCCACCCACCTTGAGATATAAGTTCTAAGATCTCAGTATAGTTACAACGGCTGCTCCACCCTTCAAACCGAAACGCATTACTGCTTCACGGCAGAAATAGGCAGGGTGGTGGTATCTACCCGCGCGGATTCACAAGAGGTCCTACCACCAGTAAGTGGTACGGTACTAGTTTTTAAAGTAGTTTTACTTTAAAAACTAGTACCGACGTATGTAATCACAGACTATGACATCGACGTAATAAATAATGGAGGTCTCAACATACCCTTCGAAGGGAATTACGCTCACTGCTCGAGTTCAATAAGAAACAACATTAATCTCATTTCTGTATTAAATTCGTTTACGTTAAAAGATAATTATTGGATTCAATACGTTCAGATAGTTTCTCGCCGGATCTTCTCAGTGGGTTGCTATTCTAATCCGGTGGTAGATTCTGCGAATCGCTGCTCTCGCTAGGACCATTATTAGTAAATTCTCTCAGGTTGAGCCCATGAGCTCACCTACCGGTCCGTGTGTAGCTGTAGTTTCCTTGAAAAGTGTCGTTTTTGTCTCCTTAAATGCCTCAAAGGACTATTCTGGCTTCATCATGACTGATGAGTGTGCTCACAGAGCATAATCTGAGAGTGTTGGCTTCGCTAAATCTACCATCGGCTCGGAATCACGACCCACTGAGAAGCGACAGTGAGGAACTTCTTCACCTACATCCCCTCATTCAATATCATCATTATCAATCCCCAATTCACTGCTTTTACCACCATCACAATGTTTACATTTATTTATAACCAGAGAGTCCACGCGGGTAGGTACCACCACCCTGCCTATTTCTGCCGTGAAGCAGTAATGCGTTTCGCTTTGAAGGGTGGGGCAGCCGTTGTAACTATACTTGATACCTTAGAACTTATATCTCAAGATGGGTGGCGCATTTATGTTGTAGATGTCTATGGGCTCCAGTAACCACTTAACACCAGGTGGGCTGTGAGTTCGTCCACCAATCTAAGCATTAAAAAAAAGTGGACTTTCTCGCTCCTTAATTTGAAAATAAGGACCTTTTATAAAGCCTCAAATGCCTTTTTAGAGGAGAGAAATTTCTAAAAATCCTTTGGGCGCTCACAACGTAAAAGGCATCAAGTCCAATAATTTCAAGTTTTTGACCCTGGCGGCTCAGGGTATCTACTGCTGAATGAGTCGGTCAGGACAAGTAAATATATGTATAAAAGATCTTCTTCTTTTTCTCCACCTTATCCCACTAGGAGGGGTCGGCCGCACACCTAATTCTTCTCTTCTATTTTCATCTATCAGCCGTCATCTCAACACTCACTTCTCTCTCTCTCATATCGTCATTCATACACTCCATCCATGTCTTGTTTGGTCAACCTCTTCCCCCTTTACCTTGCACTACCATTTCCATATCACATGCATCTTCTCTCTACGCATCACATATCCATACCACGCTAAATATATGTATATAAAAGATATTGCCGATTTTTTTTTTCGAGAAAACAAAGCCCGCACACGTATCTAACCGACCTCCCGTAGTACAGTAATCATGTTCGCTACACTATTGCTATCAGAACACAGTGCCCGGTTTTTCGATCAATCATCTCGCCCTCAACCCTATTAATAACATCAAAACATTTCTTAAGTACCGACACTGGCCCGAAACAAAACAGTTGCTTCTAATCTCGATAATAAATCGCTTATTGTTGATGGTTACGGTAAACAATACCGAAAATGAAAATGTCTGTTGACCACACGTCAACGCTGGCCATCTTAACATCAACAAAACGTAATATGTTAATCTCATTATATGAGTCGTCTATTATCAAAGGTGGCAATCTGTGCATTTGGACAAAAAAATATTATTGATATGTCAATACAGATTGATTTGAATATAATCGTCTCCTTCAAAGAATACAGTTCAAAACCTGCATTAAATAAAGGTTAATACTTAACCTGTTAATTATCTAAGATGTCGTTCAGAAGAGTTTTGTGACTGGCAATGGAATACAAAGTCAATAATTCGTTTTTCTGCTTTACCAATAATTGTCCAAAAGTCACATTGCCGGCTTTGATAATAGTCGACTCATATAGAAGAATCATCCATATGCTAATCACTTTAAAAATGTTAGCCACAAATTAGGAGATTCGAATTACCTATCGTATATTAGAATAAATTTTTCGATCACAGATATAACCATTAAATATTACGGTTTAGAAGTCACTTTTCTCAAAAGAAATCCTTATATACGATATAACGGTTGGTATTGTGTGCCAGTTAGAACGGTAGCTATTTTTATTGTATATATTTATTTTGTATTCCGAGTACAATGTGTAGATCTTGTGCCAATTGTACGATAAAGGATTTTCACCTTTACTACTCAAAAAACAAAAGTTGTTATGGCCTTGTTTCCCTGCCGTCGTTTATGGAATTTGTCAAGGAAGTGGAGAAGATAGACCCGGGGAAATACCGATAGAAATAATTCCAGTTTTTAATGGTTCTTGGCAATCAGAACGTGGTGATTATTAGAGAAACGAATGAGTTTTAACCTGATGATGAGCATTGAGATGATAAAAATATACTATTGCGAGGAAATCTAAAAATCTACTTCCGCACTGGGTCGCACGTTTAATGTACTAAAAACCTAAACTCAATCGATCGAACGATTTAATAACCAACAAACTGTATTGTTGGATTAAATAATAATAGGAATAAAAGACAAATAATCTATATCTATATATGTATAAAAATGAATTGCTGTTCGTTATTCTCGCTAAAACTCTATGTGCCCTATATTTTTAGCCAACTTCAAAAATCATAGGAAGTTTATCAATTCGACTAATTTTTTTTTCATGTGTATTAATTAACCTTAGGGATATTACCTTAGACTTTTGGCAGGTGAACCAACTTAGAAAGGTTCTTACGTTTGAAATCTAGTGCTTTTCGTATGGTCCCATTTAAATTTTAACAAAATCCGACCAGCGGTTTTCTCAATTATCCTTAATCTCTCTTCTCTCTATATACATATATAAAAATGAATTGCTGTTCGTTAGTTTCGCTAAAACTTGAGAACGGCTGAACCGATTTCGCTAATTTTGGTCTTGAATTATTTGTGTTAGTCCAGAGAAGGTTCAAAAGGTAGATAAATATGTAAATGCTCGAAATTAAATAAAAATATCAATTTTGTTTTTTCTTTAATGTGTCCCCCGTCGCGTCGGACGGATTCCTTTTGCTGTTTTAAGTTTATTTTATACAATAGTTTAGGTCTTTTATTTATCGATTGAGGCACTACGAAGTTTGCCGGATCAGCTATATAGTTAGGAATAAAAGACAGTGAGGAAAAGATTCGTGGCTCTCTTACAATGTGATGCGGGCGCGTCAGAAGTTTCTGTTGGTTCAACTCGGTATGGTTTGCAAGTCTACTTCACTTTTCGATTTGTTCCTTGAGCTTATATTAAACCAATAATAATAGGTCTCAATTTAGAATTCCCTGTGTTATAGATACCAGAGTCTGACATACTTATATACATTTAAATATATACATATATAATAAACACCCAAATAAAGAGCAAAAAAACCCCGTTCATCACACAATGTTTTCCCGATGTGGGAAACGAACCCACGACCCTTCAGCACAACAGTCAAGGCAGCTAGCTGCTGCATCACCGAGTCAGTTATTAATTAAATTTAATTATTATAAATTGTATTTAAAAGATAATGTCTGTTAATAAAAAATCATTCTTAATTAATCTTTATTGACAACCCTTTCAAGGGAGTAATTGTTATTTGCTTAAAAACATTTTTTTATTGCTTAGATTGGTGGACGAGCTCACAGCCCACCTGGTGTTAAGTGGTTACTGGAGCCCATAGACATCTACAACGTAAATGCGCCACCCACCTTGAGATATAAGTTCTAAGGTCTCAAGTATAGTTACAACGGCTGCCCCACCCTCAAACCGAAACGCATTACTGCTTCACGGCAGAAATTACATATGTTTTTATGAATATTATGGTACTTACATTAGCGTACTGAAATCCACAGGTGTCCATGCAGAGGTAGAGGCAAGTGGAGACCCCCTGGATCGTGAGGTGGCCGGGCTTGTACGTTGCACGCTGCAGTATAGCTGAAACAATAATAAGGTTTTGAAAAAAAAAGATGACTAATTAAATAAAATAAAAAAAATGGTCTTTTTTTTTCTACCTATGCTGATAGCCTTGAGAGGCTATTTCAGCTTCACCCTAACGTGTAGGTGAGCTCACGGGGCTCAAACCGGAGTGTTGCTAACACTGACCTTAGCAAGAGCAGTGCTTCGCAGAATCTACCACGGGATCGGAAACGCGACCCACTGAGAAGATCCGGCGAGAAACTCAGTGGGCTCACAAACCTTACGTGTTCATCGACGCTACTAACCACGATTAACATAACGCGCTATTTTCTCAACAAATTGTTTATTTCCAATAATTGTCGCGTATCGCACTTCGACAGCCCACTGAGTTTCTCGCCGGATCTTCCCAGTGGGTCGCGTTTCCGATCCGGTGGTAGATTCTGCGAAGCACTGCTCTTGCTAGGGCCAGTGATAGCAACACTCTCGGTTTGAGTCCCGTGAGCTCACCTACTAGTTCAGTGAATCTAGAATAACCCTTCGTGGTTACTAGAATAGGTAGGGNATAATTGTCGCGTATCGCACTTCGACAGCCCACTGAGTTTCTCGCCGGATCTTCCCAGTGGGTCGCGTTTCCGATCCGGTGGTAGATTCTGCGAAGCACTGCTCTTGCTAGGGCCAGTGATAGCAACACTCTCGGTTTGAGTCCCGTGAGCTCACCTACTAGTTCAGTGAATCTAGAATAACCCTTCGTGGTTACTAGAATAGGTAGGGAAAAAAAGCACTTCGATTAAATGTAAAAATAACTCTAAAAGTCTTCGTTTACATCACATATATAATTTTTATGACGCTGATCTGAGCGAGACAGCCTGTTGCTTGCTTGGGTCGATACCATGATAATCTTCCGACTGTTTATTGTCCAAATTACTAAATAGTTTAATGAAATTTAATATTTAACTCAAACGTAATAATGCTTACGAGTCATCCAAATCAACGATAAATTCAAAGTTCAAACAACGTTGTTGGTATAAATAATATCGCCGTCTCCGGATCCAGAGATGGCGCTAGTGTTACGGTTCCATTTCTATTTCGCTTTGGACTGTCTTGATAATTTGAATTGACTTTTATGATTTTTTTTAGTATAAATAGTGATCAATCATATATTATATTAGGTACTTCAATCTATATATATGTTACCGGAAATGTATGAAATCAAGGAATTGTATACAAATCCTAGGAAATGTGTACAATTCCGATACTATTTAGGAAATGTATAAAATATTGTTTGAAAAACTATTTAATGCATAGATATCCTAGGAAATGTATAAATTTCCTCGGAATTGTATATAATTCCAATATCGTATTAGGAAATCTATAAAGTAAATGTTTTCTGTAATAAAACACGTTGTTAATAATATTTTTTTATTATAACACTTATTTGAGACAATCGGGTAACAGTCATACCGTAAAATAATAATAATATGTTTATATTATCTTACTAATTAAAACTTCTAAAATCAACTATCTATTAACTTATAACGTATCACAAAATCAACCTATATTTATTCTTATAAAATCAAATTTTCATTTGGCAAGTAATCAGTCTGATAATTAAGTAATTATAAATGTCAAAGTATATCCTTATATTATAATACTTTGTCAGTCCATATAGCTATTTATTTTTGCAGGGTAAGCTCGAATGGCATTTGGAAGTACATAACACTTTATTTTTAAAACACAGACATCTTGCTGTAGCACAGTTTTTCTTGCAAAGGCACTTATTAAATCCCTGGCCGGTTCCAGTGGATTGCAAGTTGGCAACTGACCATAGTGCAATCTCGGTCCTCGGTACATAGTCTGCATCAAGAATAACTCTTGGACACACATTAATCTGAGAACGAGCATATAATTGTTTTAAGATACCGTTCTTGGTACCAATCTGATAGAGTTCATCATCGGTTTTACTCAAAACTACATCAATAATGTTGCGTGCATCATCTCGTCCTCTATCAACCTCAGGAACTGCAATTCGTACTGAAGCGCCAATAGGTACAGGTCCAAATCCTTCATCGGGTGATTCTTCAGCAACAACGCAAATAGCATGGATTGCACATCCACATTCTCTACATGTATGAGCTCCTGTAGTTTCTTGTGAACAGACGCTGCATTGGAGGGTGCAATTTGGAGGTTGCGTGTTTGTTTCGCGTTGATCTAAAACGTCGTTAGAAACTTGCCTCCGTGTTCACCTTAGAGAGTTCACATGCAAAGACTTTGGGATCTTCCTTTTTGGTAAGGTCCTGTATGATTTTCTCCAAATCTTCTTCAGTTTCAACATTTTGCGTGAAATCATTGGGTAACTGTGAACCAACTTTTACTTTACACCCAAAAAGAGCCTCATACGGAGATTGCTTGATATCAGCATGAAAAGCTCTGTTTTTCGTCAGTTGGACAAATCTCAAGCCCTCACTCCAATGTGAATTATCATTATCTTGCATCCACGTGGTTAGCATGTTTTCAATATCCTGATTCGCTCTTTCCACACTCCCCTGACTTTGCGAATGCCTGGGTTTACCATGAATAATTTTTATAGTAGGCCAATATGTTTTTAAATTGTTAATAATTCGGTTTGAAAATTCTCTGCCGTTGTCAGACTGAAGTTTTGCAGGAGCACCAAGTAGAGTAAATATGTCCAATAAAGTGTGAGCCACTTCCTTAGCTCGTTTTGTTTTAAGTATCCGTAAAACAACAAATTTTGTTAAATGATCGTGATACACCATTATAAATTTGTTATCACCGTCGGGCCGGGACTGAAAATCTATCAGATTTACTTGGCACCTAGAATTAAACTCTGAGGATAATCTTTCTAGCAGTTGTTTATGCCGTAGAAACTTCTTCAATGAACTCTTTATAGCGTTCATCTTCAATAAAAGCAGTGTTTTTAGCGTTTGTTAATATTCTTAGTGACGCCAAAGTCCTATAAAATCGCTCTTTCAAAAGCGCGATGCGTGATTCGGCAGCCATCTTTGAACAATAGCGACATGCATACGCACTGACAGCTTACAAGGCACTACGCCATCGCCGGATCAGGCGAAGCAATACCCTCCCCTCGTCCCGCTGTCCTCGCGTACCCACCAATATCTTAAATTTTACATTTCCGATTGCTATTTAGGAAATGTATAGATTTCCTAGGAAATGTGTAATGTGTAAGTATAATATAATTTATTTCACACATTTCCGTGCGATTTTAGGAATTACATACATTTCCTAGGAATTGTATACAATGACGGATTACATACATTTCCGTTAACATATATAAAAATGAATTGCTGTTCGTTAGTCTCGCTAAAACTCGATAACGGCTGGACCGATTTGGCTAATTTTAGTCTTGAATTATTTGTGGAAGTCCAGAGAAGGTTCAAAAGGTAGATAAATATGAAAATGCTCGGAACTAAATAAAAATATAATAACAATTTTGTTTTTCCTTTGATATCCCCCCGTCGGACGCATTCCTTTTGTTTGATTTAAGTTTATTTTATATAAAAGCTTAGGTCTTATATTTATCGATTGAGGCACTACGAAGTCTGCCAGGTCAGCTAGTCACTTATAAATTACGTTTATTTCAAATTGTTATTTTGGCTATCAGATAGACAGGCCTTGCAATTAATGTTTAACTTGACGTAAAAAAATTGGTTTGTCATTTTAAATGTACTATTTTAATTTGTAAATAAATTGTGATTTAACAATAACGAAATCATTTGTAAATCTATTCACACTTTCACATGCTTGATATATAAATATAAGTATCAAACGGTAGCGAGTCAGCCCTATTATATTTGTAAGCCAACTGCAGAACTAAAATTCAGCTTTTAGCCTTTTACAGCCGGACCTAACTGGTGTTAACGTTAACGCCTAGATTCTGAATAAACTTGACTCACAATGTCTGTACTCTAACATACTGTTCAAGTGTGACGTCAAAAGACACGTGGAAAGTTTTGAATTTCGCCACTAGGGTTGATAGATAAATAAACGCACAGGCATCTGACAATGTCCAGGGTGAGGGCTTATGATGAGAGACCAAACGGGATATTTTCACTGGTGGTAGGACCTCTTGTGAGTCCGCGCGGGTAGGTACCATCAATCTGCCTATTTCTGCCGTGAAGCAGTAATGCCTTTCGGTTTGAAGGGTTGAGCAGCCGTTGTAACTACTATACTTGAGACCTTAGAACTTATATCTCAAGGTGGGTGGCGCATTTACGTCGTAGATGTCTATGGGCTCCGGTAACCACTTAACACCAGGTGGGCTGTGAGCTCGTCCACTCATCTAAGCAATAAAAATAGTAAAAAATAATAATAAGCTCAACATAGCGTAAGTTTAATTTGAAACCCGTAGTCCGGGCTTTTGTGTGTAAATTGTAGATTATTACGTAAGCTACGTTATAATCTTCAAACGCCTGTTTGTATTCATTGTCCGAGTGAGCAGCCGAGCCAAAGGATGGTTATTACAAGACGTAGGGTATGTGTGTGATGTGTGATGAGTTATATTTGAATTCGAAGGCGCGGAGAGAGAAGATGGGTGCCGACAAAAAGCGATCCACGTATTTTAATTTAGACGAAGTTCAATAACGAGCTAGATAGAGAGCAAGCTTTTTTTAGCACCACAAAAATACAACACGAAACCCTGATTTGCGGAAAGTCGTGAAGCACTAATTCTTAATGCCCAACTTTTTATTTTCTCTGCCTATTCAGTGGTAGCCTAAGGGGCTGTTCTAGCTACGGGTAGGTGAGCTCACGGGCTCAATCCGAGAGAATTTGCTAATACTAGCCATAGTAAGAGCAGTGCTTCGCAGAATCTACCGCCGGATTGGAATCGCGACCCACTGAGAAGATCCGGCGAGAAACTCAGCGGGCTGTGTCTGTGGGGGCCCAACTCAACATTTTAAACGCACGTTTAAATCTCAGGTTTTAGACAATTTGTTGGATACAGATATGCCGTAACGAGAACAAACAACTACCTTAAATGG